CCTTGGTCCACCACAACACAAGTCTGCATTTAATGCACAAGGATACTTCTCAAGAATAAACCAACGAGTTCACTTATCTCGGAGTTACGTTTGACACAAAGCTAACATCTAAAAGTCACATTGCTAAAGTAGCAGAACGAGCCTCCAATAGACTGAACGTACTGAAGCTCCTTACTGATAGTGTTTGGGGCTGTGCACACACAACCCTAAATAACAATTACAGGTTGTTTGTTCAGCCAATAATGCTCTATTGCTGGGAGAAACTCATTACGGCCTCTGAAGTGATTCTCAAATCACTCGAGAAGGCACACAACCATGCATTACGACTAATTACTGGATGGATAAAATCAGCACCGATTGATGCAATGCTCCTGGTTACATCAAAGAGAAGGCAATGATCCAGTACGAGAAACTACTGCGCATTCCCATGAATACATTCTTCAGCGCCTATGAGAATACACCAAGACACCTGAAAACACAATTTGGTCTAATACAGAAAGTCACAAAACCGAAAAAGCATCACAGATTGCTGACTAACCAAAAAGCCTCTACCACAAAACCCATTAACAGACACTGATGCACAATGTTGAACTCATCTACTTGACCATTTCAGGAAAGCAAACACCCTTCCAGAACAAGTGCACTCACTGGCCCTTGATATAATCAATATCAACTATCCTGCAGATCAATGGCTCCAAGTCTTCACTGATGGGTCATACATAGAAAACCAAGCAAACGTTGGTGCAAGTGTCTACTCTGAACTCTTCTCTTTCTACGCAGCAGCGGGACACAATAGATCCGCTTTCGAAGGAGAAATAGAGGCTATTTGGATAGCACTATGCCAATTATGTTGCCTGGATACGAAATTAACCAAAGCGGTGATACTTTCGGACTCACAGTCAGCAATAAACTCAATTGGAAACAGAGAGCCACCCAAAACAGCAGGAATACAAGAATATAAAAAACATGTCAGTTACTGAGAGAAAAACAAATCAGTAGTTCTTCAATGGGTCCCAGCCACTGTTGCATTATAGGCAATGAGCGTGTTGATACACTTGCTAAGAAGGGGACAAGGATTTTGTAAGGCATAGACTGGCCGATGTCTTTCCACACAAAAAAGACCTTAATCAGGAGAGAATTCAAGACTTCAAGGCGCAGCGGTCGTAAAACTCGAACGACAGTAGCACTCACCAACATAGCCGACTGGCTAAGAATCGAGGCTGTTGCTGAGTCCAGGCTGCGTATCGAACATGATTGCCTGGCGAAGCACCTTCACAGAGTAGGCGCATACGCTAAACCAACATGCCCCTTGAGTGACCTGCAGGAGGAAATGGAGAAGACCCACCTGATTCCGTGTCCAGCCCTTGACAACGACAGATACCTAGAGATGCTGGGAAGCCAGAAGTCAACTGCGGGGCTGTTGATACATAACATAGACAGCCATTTGAAATAATAATAATGGGGATTAAATAGATATGAAACTGACTGGTGAGCAATAGTGCATATTTTTAAAAATTATATCTAATAATTAGTTTCCCTTTAAGAGAATTTTTCGAAGCAGCTGTATATTCGAGTTTAAATATTCTTGTACCTCAATCATTATTAACTGAATTTGTAACTGAACCGAGATCCGCTTGCTAATTTCGATCCACAATTTTGCAATGTTCAGGATAACCTCACATTCGAATTTCTTATTGATATTTTCATAGATGGACTCGAAGCGGGAGCGAATTCTCAAGAACTCTACATTGTATATTTGATTTATTCATTAAGAATGACAAACAGCTCAAATGTAAGAAGTGAATATCGATTGATAAAGCCCCATTCTTGCATATGAATACGTCAAGTATAATTTTACTTAACTTAATATGACTGCAATATTTTGCAAATAAAATTTATGCTTCTGCACTAGTCTACCTTGTTTATTTTGATTGATTTTCCTTAATTTTTAAAATATTCATATTTGACTTTGTGTTTTTACAATTCCCAATTCGTCTGTCTCGGTCTCTTGCAACCAGCGATTGTGATTTTCACTCCTTATTCCTTCCAACTACCTTTATGGAGCTTCCGTGCTGCCTACCCGAACCGCTCTCTTGTCCTACTCACTGTGCTGCTAATAAAACAAAAAAACGTAATTCTCACATACTGACTCCTCATCAATAGAGGACTTTTACTAGTTGCTTATCGACGAGCCAAGAGCACAGCTCCATCGCCAAGCCGACATTTGCACGGTAGCACTTCGTATGGTCACCAATCGAACATTGCCAAGGCCTTTGAAATTTCACTTTGAGTTCCCATGCTCCCCGATCCCTCTCCTTTTTCAATACATTCTGGTTCACCGTTTTTTATCAAAAATTCGTACCCTATTAAACATTGCCACCGAATTACAGTTGTTACAAACAATGGTAAGGATCTAGCGAGTCAATAGTCATAAATTAGAAAATATCAAGCACTTCGGCCCGCAGAAAAAAGCAAGTCAACATTTCTACAGAATAATACAATCGTAAAAATAAAAATAATAGGAAATGTACACAAGGTATAGATTCTATTAACTAATCCAATCGCCACTTTTCTGGCACATAGGGCTCTGGAGGTTCGTCGGATTCAAGTGAAGTTCTGGGGTCCCTGCCAAGAGTTTCCTCCTGAATTTTCTGCTGTTCCACTTGCCAAGCAGCTAGATGTTCTGGTTTAACTAATCGATTGTAGAACCGATCCCAAATATATCCCTCGCGAACTTTCGATAAGATCTAAATAAAGCGTTAAAATTTTAATTCAGATAAAAAAAACCAGCACAACTAAATGAAAGGAACTGCATACCTGATACTTCATTTTGTTCTTTTTCGGTCCGGCAGCGGGGCGAAGCGAATATGGATATTTATATTTTCCCCAGTCAGGAGTGGTTCTCAACTCCTCTATCAGACTGGGATAGAGTGATCTTTTCTGTTCAAATGAAAGGGAATCGTAGTCAATTCCATAGTTTTCAGGTCGAGGAACACTAGGCTCTTCCAACTCTATGCCAGATTCCAGAAGGGCATCATAAAACGCTTTGTTTCTAGTACTTTTGAGAGGCGTTTCAACCACATCAAATAAAACTGAAGTTATCCCCATACAGTGACACCTGTGTG